GCCCGAATCGCACGTGTGACTTTCAAGCAACAGCCGAGGAGAGTTATCGCTACACCACCACGTTCAACGTTCTACACAAGCACTTTTCTATGTTTAGAATGGACGACCATGCAGCATGAGGAATCCCGCAGTAGGCGAGACTCCTTGTTTCTTTCAACCACTTGTAATCATTAGATGTCAATAAGAGCCTCGCCGGTTGCTGCATGACGGTTATAAAAGAAAACAATTTCGAGAACTTTTTGCCCTCCGGGGAAAACGGGGGTGTACCTGAGGTAGTCCTTCTTCATTCTCTCTTCTTCTCTTTCTTTCTTTCTTTCTTTCTTTGTTCTTTCTTTCTTTCTTTCTCTTCTTTCTCTTCTTTTCTTTCGTTGTCTTGTCTTTCTTTCTTTCTTTCTTTCTTCTTTCTCTCTTTCTCTCTTTCTTTCTTTATTTCTTCTTTCTTCTTTTTTCTTCCTTTCTTCCTTCCTTCCCTTCCTTCCTTTCTTCCCTTCCTTCCTTCCTTCCTTCCTTCCTTCGTTCCTTCCTTCCTTCTTCTTCCTTCCTGTCATACGCAATACTCCCTACTATCTTCATTGGATCGTCATTCCCGTGCTTAGCAACATAAGACTTCATTTTATTTACTGAAGAAAACAACCCATGTCGGGCGTTCATATCTAGACAACAATAAATGTGGGTTCATGAAATGAAATGTCGCCCGATGAAAGGTCAGATTGTTATATCCGAAATCGTTGACGACCAACAATCCCCCAATTGAAATAGCAGTGGTCATTGGATAACGGCTCGTACAAATACGTATACACGCATAGTGATCAACGCACGTTGAGGGCCGCATTTCTGAGAGCTAGAGGGGGCGAACTTTCTTTTCTTCCTTCTTTTTGCCCTCACACCACCAACAATAGTGAAACTTGTGAAGGAATGCAACCTTCACTTGAAAAAAGCAAGGAATGCAACAGTGCGATACACAGGACAAGAAAGAGAACAAAAAACATTGGACTCTACGTAAACAAAATGCAAGAATTCTCATTAATAACGTCGGCATTTACTTCTGTTTCTCTTCTTGTCTTTTGTCTCATTTTACGTGCTTCTTTAGAAGCAAGCGAACATATTTGGATGCAACACGCCTCTATCAAGGAATGTAACTCACGGCAGTGAGCTGAGCTGCATAGTAGCATACAACCAGAGCGAGTGACGATGCATTAAGAGCGCAACCTTGGCTTCCAGATTCCTACGTTTGCGACCCGACATTGTTATAGAATGAGGCTGGCAACTTAATGTTCACGTGGCCTTTTCATGTCAACAGTCTTGATAACAAGGCGCACCTGACGTGTAGGTGGACGAAGCCAGGCAGCTCAAAGACGTCGTATATGTGGACTCCCTCGCAAAACGACCTACAGAGGCCACGGCATCAAAGTATTGACCTCGCCATGATGTACCTGTCAAGGGTCTTATATAGTGCGACCTTTGGGTAGCCTTGAAACAAAGAAACAAAAAAGAGGGCACCATTTGTAACGGGCTCCTTGTTGGCCGTTCGCGCCGTTTGAGGCTTGCGAAAAGTCGTCACACTGACCCATTACACTGATAGTCTGAAGTCATCTTTACATGGCCAAAACAATAAAATAAAATGTCTCTCAGAACTGGTAAGGGTGTTCAAAACGTATGGCAAATAAAATGTAGTACAAGGGACACAAGAGTAACTTGTCGGTCTTTATAAGAAAGGCGAGAAATTGTTTGCCTGTAAAGTATCTTCGACCCACTTCACGAAGCTTTACATCCGTGAATGTAGAATGTTGGACACCAGTGGGCAGAAATAATATACAGATTATCACCATTAGTTGGTATCTTGTATGAGCAGCATAGGATGATAAGTTTCTTCTAAATAAGTGTATTGATAACTTCGTAGCGCTTCAGCCTAGTGTTTTTCTCTGAAAATTGCCATCAAAGAACAGCACCATTTTTTACCAAAAGCTTTAAGAAAAACAGCGATTTATTCATAGAAGAAAGTTAGAAATGTCGAAAATATTTGAGGATGACCCGATATAAGATTGAATTTAATTAGTTCCACTGGAGGCAAAATATATGGAGTGTTATGCAAAAACTCATGAAATATATGCAGGCTGAGGGCATCCTTGTTCGTTACATAGCACCGCCACGATGTTCGAGTGGCTAAGGTACTCGGCTGTTGACACGCAGGTCACGAGATCAAATCCCGGCTGCGGCGGCCGCATTTTCGGTGGAGGTGAAAATGCTGTAAGCCCGTGTGCTCAGATATGAGTGCACGTTAGGGAACCCCAGGTGGTCGAAATTTCCGGAGCCCTCCACTACGGCGTCTATCATAATCATATGGTGGTTTTGGGAAGGTAAACCTCACATATCAATCAATCATTATTCATACTTGTTTATTTAGTTTCACCAGTAGTTGTTTAGAACGTGCACCCTCAGACCTATAGATTTAGAGGAAAATGTGGAAAAAGTCAAGCAATAACATGAATGGGTCAAGGACAGCTATGAGGAAATCGGACATTGGCGAGCCCCTAGGACAGAATTATTAAAGTTATTTCACATTCAAGTTATTTCAATCAATTAGAAACGAAATGAATTCATCGTGGAGTAGGAGAAACGCTCGTTATCTTTATAACGAAAACGTGCTGAGAAAGATACTTGAAAATCTGGTGGTCTGCAGCGATATCGGCGTTAATTGAAAGTATGACATAGGATTAAGTGCTTCAGTGGTTTTTCCACTAATGCCTTCTGACGTATTACTATTGACAATATGTACGCATTCCTATCAGGCGCAAGCTCTGGTGATACCACACCGCTGACGTAAACTGGAACGTTGCCCAGTTCCGCAAGTTAACTATGAATATGGTTCAACAATGTCTATGAGAACATTCAGAATGAAAGAAAAAAATCTAGGCGTATTTCCACCACCAAGCCCCAAACTCGACAGATTAGAAGCGGTATATTGGAGGCAATCGCAAACGCAGATTTTCCCAAACCCTCCTTATTTTAGGAGGATATACCCAGATGTCTATTCATATGATATACTTGCGAATCGTGAGGCTGGACTCACGCATCACTTAGGTACATTCTCTGGGAAGGTGTAGTTTTAGCAGAAGAAAGTGCAGACTCTCCAGATGAGCCTGCGGCGCGGTGGACGGCTGTGCTGCGTTGCTCCCACCTTCAAGATCAACTGTTGCTCATCCAGCAACAGGTGGCAAGAGACAGGATCTCCGGTCCTCCTCGGGGGAGGCCCAGGCCACGAATTTACCGGAGCTATTTATAAAGGTGTTACCACTACCTTTCTATCAAGCGTACGTGTCACTTAGCACGTACTATGTTGTCACCTAGAAGAGTTGATAATTTAGCGATGTTGTCTTTCAAAGAACTAGAGTTGTTTTCGAGCCACACGTTAATAAAGCGGCCCGTCCGGCCCATATATGTACGACCCCAAGAAGAAGGCATCTTGCTGAGTGAACAGGAGCAACATCATTTATATTTACTGTGTTTAGTGTGTTTTAGGGGACATTTACTAAAAACGCCATAGTTCGACGTAACCGCGGTGGTGGTGGCAACTCTCCATTTTTTTTCTTTTATCGCTGGTCACGTACAAAAAGAAAAAACACACGTTGGTAATGTGAGAACGTGATACCAGTTGAAACGTTCGTGCTCGAGGACGAAAGTTGCAGTATTCGTGGGCACTTTTTTGTATATATGCCGAGCAAATTTCTCGCTGGCGGCCGGATTGAGAGTTAGGCGACGGGGTGACGCACATACCTGGGAACGGGAGAGAGAGCACAGGCAGAAAAATTGTCGGCTGTCGGAAACCTGACCTGCATATGCTCTGTCACAGAGCGGGTAGGCAAGACGGATCACGCAAACTTTCCGGCGTAACTTCGTCCGCTTGACACGCATAGAGTAGTCAAAGACATGCACTGCCGAAAGACGCATGTGTCCACTGCTGACTGTCGCGACTTCGCTTTTACTTTCTGCCACAGTCTGTCCTGCTCTTGAACCACGCCACGCAACGGCAAATGTGAAAAAAAAAATGAGCGAAGTGATGAATAAAGGGAATGAAGTACACGCATGAGAGTGTACGTGCCGAACTCAGCAGTCCCAGAGTAAAACCTTCGGAGCGAATCGAGGGAGCACGATTCAAACAAAGAAACAGACAAACAAATCAAATGTGCTTAAAGGCCAACTAGCCCTGTTCGACGCGTCGAAGAATGCGCTGAAGAAACGGAGGCTACCAATGCCGAGAAACTGCGGTCGCTCTGGACACAGGGTGGACAGCCCTGACGCGTTTTTATTGTAATTTATAATTCTTTTTTTTTTTCGTTTAGAATGCCAGGGGAACTCGACCGCAGTTGGCCTGTGGAGCTGTAGAAAACTCGTTATTAGCTTAACCTGGACACCGATCAAAAAGGCGCCGAGCGGAAGGCAGCCGGCATTTCGGGCGAACAACAGCGGCGCTCTGGACGGCTTCCGATGACTTCTGGGGCTGTCCTTGGGGGCGGTATCTCCGCTCGCGGAACACAAAGGAAGCCCAGCGCGGCAGCGAAATTCCGCCGCTGCAGCCTCTGTCATCAGCCGTGCAGCTTGCTTGGCCCAGAGACAAGCACAGACAGACACACCGGGGTCCTATTTTCCGTCATCTGCTGCTCTTGGCCCCGCGAACTGGATCGCACGCTGCGCGTGCAAGCTCGTGACAGCGCGTCGGAATCACTCCTTTCGTCCGCAACGCCTGAGACTGGACGCGCGTACAAAGAAAGTGAACCGGTGTGTCAGCGTTGCGTTGGTGGATTGGGTTGCGTGGACCGGGCGGAGGGGGGGGGGGGCAGAAGTGTTGGTGTAGCTGTTGCATGCAAGCCGCTCGCACTGCAGATCGTGTCACGTGGTACGGTCCAGCTAGTATCGCAGGTCTTGACAGCGCGCCCGGACCTCTGCTTGCGTCGCCAGTATATAAGGGTGGACGCAGGCCGGACAGAGACATCAGAACTCGCTCAGCCATCTCAGGAGTCGAGTCGAAAAAGTCCTGTGGAGTACGAGCACACACGCCAGCGACCCACCAGATATGAAGGTGAGAATGTCATGCAGGGCCGGGCGCCCTCGTAAACCGGTGGTTTCGGAAACAGTTTACTGGTGAAGTCGCACTTGGGCCAATTGATATTGTGACTTGCGGCCCGACAGGATTCACTGTTGAATGATAACATGGTTACCTGCAAATTAGTCACAGACTGGATGTTCACCTGTGCAATAGGCTCTGCGCCTATACTTAGTATCTAACAGCCTCAATTGTTCGTGAAGGTATAGGCATGGCAATGACATTCACCTCATGAAAAAATTATGAAGGCACAGCTGTGTTCGATTCCCACGAGGACCAATATCACTGAAGTTATATATATTTCTGACAAGTTACAGGCGTTTATTGCCTTTAGATGTTGAAAGCTTAAGACTACCACATATATTAACGTATTAACGAAGATTTGATAACTTCATGTGGCCCTTGGTACTGGTAGTCGTACTAACAGTTACACTGTGCCTTTAATTTGCCAGAGATATTTTAACTTCCCTGAGGTGTAGATATCTAATTTATATGTGGCTAATTAAGGTTGCTAGAGGGGCTGAGATACTTGTTAATTCAGAATATAGAGTATACGAAGCGCCAAATTTTGAAAGCAGTAACAAAAAGCCTCTCCACGCAGTATCTTAAGTTCATAAGAAAGAATTCACTTATTTAATGAAACTATCAGTATACCACCGTGAAAGAAACCTAACCATCTTGCCGTTTCCTTCAGGTCCTCATTGTTCTCGCCGTTGCCTGCGCCACCGCTCACGCCGGTTTCATTGGTGGTGGCCATGGGGGCGGAGGAACTTCTACCCAGCACCGTTCTCAGGACGTGAGCGTCGTACCGCACTTACGCGTTGTTCGCGCTTCAGTTGTTCATGTTTCAGCTTAACTATCTACAAACAGGGCAGCCAGCAGGGCATTGAATATTGAAAGTTTCGTATTCCGGCTCCGAAGCAGGACTTTATGAAATTCTTTAAAGCAGAGCAATTGGAAAGCATGTACACCGGTGAAATCTGAGGGTTAAGACTCTGCACTTGTTTAGTTTAGTCTGTGTAGATGTGCTTATCATACTAATACCATTTCTTTAATACAGATGAAGCAAGAAAAACACAAATGAGGGTAGCGAGACCACACAAGGAGAGAGTATACCAAATGAACGGTTCAAAACTTTTTATGTCTTTTAACAGACTCATTTTCCTTCTTTTGATTCACCCACCCTCGGAACAGATCTCCGGCGCCTACAGCTTCGGCTACAACGAGAATCACGCCACTGGGGGCACTTCTCGCTGGGAGTCCGGTGATGGCGTCGGCAACAAAAGGGGCTCGTACAGCCTGCGCGGCGCCGACGGCCGCTGGCGTACCGTCAAGTACGTCGCTGATGGCGCTGGATTCCGTGCAGCCGTGTCCACCAACGAGCCAGGCACCGCTCCATCCTCTCCCGCTTCCGCTGGCATCAATGCGCCTATCCTCCACGTTCCTGCCGGACACCATGATGGTGGCTACGGAGGCTACGCTGGTGCCTATGGAGCTGGAGCGTACGGAGGTGGAGCGTATCTTGGAGGAGCTGGTTATGGAGCTGGAGGTTACTACGGAGCCGGAGCCGGCATCGGAGCCGGAGCAACCAAGGCGGCCCACGTCTTCGGTGCTGCTATTCCCGGAACTGGCTTCGGCGGCTTCGGAGGCTACGGCGGCTACGGAGGAGGCTATGGAGGTTACGGACACCATGGCTACGGTGGTCATGGCATCGTTAAGCATTATTAAGTTATGTAACAAAGACGAATGCTAGTTGATTGTGGCTTCAACTGTCCTTCAGTTAGGGTTAGTTGTTTTTCTTATTGTTGGCACCAGTGCTTCATCGCCATTGTCGCTCACTTCGCGATGTTATCTACTACTATGGCCCCCTTTTGTGCAAAGACTCACGTTCCTAAGTGCGTTTCCTTGGTGTTTCAGTGCTGCTCAACTTCACTCATTGTTTGCTTTCTTGTGCTCGCCAAATAGTGTGTGTCGTGCTCGTTTTGAATAAAAAATGTTTCGTCGCTGTCGAACTTGAAGCGTTGGACTATTCTTTAAGAAATCTAGTGGGTCATCCATTCAGCCTGGATGCTTCCCCAGTCATAATCGCTAAAAAGGAACAAGGTGCTCATGACGCCTAGTGGAGGCAAGGAGAGGCAGATCTCCAATTTTATGGCAATCTATAAAGCTCTGCTAGTACAGAATGGTTTAAACGAAAGAAATTATTGTGTTAATAAAATAGCAATACTACCCAACTACTAATTCTGTTCTCAACATACAACAGTTATACGCACTAATTACGTCGAAAACATTTCCTCGAGGCACAGAACCCAGAACTTTGAAACACTTCCTACTCGGTTAACGAAGGGGCCTTGATAGAGACATGCACTACAGGCTGAGAAATCTGCAGAGTAGATAGACAATCTTCCTTGAAGCCTTGAAGGTGGCGAATAGGCATTGATCTTCATGGCAGGCGCCGCAGTGATAATGTCGCCACCTTTTTTTCAGGTGGATGAAATGTCATTACTGCAATTTTCTTATCTCTTTACGCCAAAATGGAAATGCATAAAGTGACAGGCTGATAGTTTTAACATTAAAACAATGCTTGCAAGAAAGTGTCAATTCCGGATCACGATGTTTGATTGATTGATTGATTGATATGTGGGGTTTAACGTACCAAAACCACCATATGGTTATGAGAGACGCCGTAGTGGAGGGCTCCGGAAATTTTGACTACCGGGGGTTCTTTAGATCCGGATACTGTCACGTAACCAAGAACGATGCATGTTCCTTTCTTCTAACGAGGTTTATTGGAGCGAAGTCGTGCTCTTCAAAAGACTGAAAATGACCAAAATAAAAGCGGCAAAGACGCATTACAAATACCGGTGTGTACGTGCCCCGCCGCGGTGGTCTATTGGCCAAGGTACTCGTCTGCTGACCTGCAGGACGTGGAATCGGCGGTGGCGGCTGTATTTTCTATGAAGGCGAAAATGCCATAGGCCCGTGTGCTGCAGATTTCGGTGCACGTTAAAGGGCCCCAGGTGGTCGAAACTTTTGAAGCCTTTCTCTACGGCGTCTCTCATAGTCATATGGTGGGTTTGGAACGTTAAACCCTACGTATCAATCAATCAAATCAGCGATGTGTGCGTGTGGGTGTCTACGGGCACAAGACGATTGTTCTGGGTTTCTAGCGTGCTTCTTCGCCGATAACACTGCTCTTGAGGTGATAGGGCGAATAATTCTTCCTATCAAACCGAATGACTAGCGTGGCTACAAAAATAGATGAAACACGCACTCCACTTTCAACGTTGATAAACACGGGAGTTGTGAGACGCCGCGAAGTTAACACACGAAAAAAAAAATCGTCAGATCCCACGTAAAGTGCGAATATATAATATGCGAAACACGGATGAGGAAGGTTGATAACTTAGTTGATTGACATGTGGGGTTGAACGTCCCAAAACCACCATACGATTATGAGAGACGCCGTAGTGGAGGGCTCCGGAAATTTCGAACACCTGGGGCTCTTTAACATGCATTCAAATCTGAGCACATGGGCCTCCAGCATTTCCGCTTCCATCGGAAATGCAGCTGCTGCCGCCGGGATTCGATCCCGCAACCTACGGGTCAACAGCCGAGTACCTAAGTCACTAGAACTCCACGGCGGGTCGAATGAGGGAGGTTGATATGTAATTTCAAAATTAACACAACGTTATGCAGTGGACGTAAATTATGCCATGAATGACTTCTTTGTCGTTATTATCATGTTTGCGCCTATAAGTTTTGTTCGTCGTCACATCATGTCGCGTAATACCATATTTGGTATATGTGAAGCTAGCGAAACGGCCGTGAGAGCATTGTAAGCGTAGCATGTAATCATATTTTTCATGGCACGCATGTCATCATCATCATGTTTGGACTTGCTATTTACCTTCGTCGTCCATTCACGTCTCGCAATAACAAATTTGGTATATGTGAAGCTAGGCAAACCGCGAGCGCGCTATAAGAGTAGCATGTACTCATGTTTTACATATAACACGCATGTCATGATTATCATGTTTGGATGTGTCATTTACGTTCGTCGTTGATTCAAATTGCGTAATAAAAATTTGGTATATTTGTTGAAGACGATGAAGTGATTCTAATGTAGAACACCCGTTTGCTCTTTTTTTATAAGGTTTTCCTTACATAGGTCATACTATAGTACCAATTCATTACACATTGTTAAAATGATCACAGAAAAACTGCACTACGCTTTCTTGGCCATTCCCCCGGAGTGGGTGCGAGCCATCAGTCCAGGGAAACAAACAAACAAACAAACAAACAAACAAACTTGTGTCAGTATCTGTAATTTTTACAAGTTTTTCTGTGACTTAGTGGAAGACTACGTATCAGTGACTGTTGCGATGGATGTGCATTCACCTGGGCTTCCACCCCAATCATCGAGGTCGTCTGCAGCTGCTACGAGAAAGTTTACGGGCCACCCGAGTGATGCCGAGAGTGAGGACACGCTGATTAACTCTAAGGCCAGCGACGAAAGCTCCAACGAAGGTGAATTAATGCTTGTGACAAGGCGTCAGCCAAAAAGAAGACCAGTGATGCTGTCTCCATCAACAAGTATAAGTCGGAAGATACAACGTCGAGGGAGGCAAGTAGTCTACTTTGCAGCTATATTGCAGCAGCAGCAGCTGCTTTTTGTAAATGACTGAAGCCCTACGTTTCTACGGGGAACGACATATAGCAGCTGCATTGACTTAACATTTGCGTCAGGAAGCCTTAGTGAAAAGGTTCAGTGGTTCGCAGATTATGAAACTCATGGAAGTGACCACATACCAACTTAATTAAAGATCAAGGGCCTGGGAAAATCACAAAACTGCGACACTTCGACTCGCATCAACCGGACAAAGTGCAGGTCACTGATGGAAGAGAGGTGTCAAGAAAATTAATGGCCTCCTTTTGACACTTTCGAGGATATGATTAGAAGTGCTTATCATGAAGCGACTTATTATTGAAAATACTTCAAAATATTGTCAACATGAAGTGGAATTGGAATGGTTCAGAGCGATCCGTCGTCGTGCTGAACGAAGATATAGACGCACTAAGTCCATTCACGACTTGAGGGAGGCAAGGCACCTACAGAAAAAATTCAGCGGCGAATCAACTCACTCCAGTCTCTTCGATGGAATCTCTGTGCTAATCGCTGGATCCACACAAGCTTTTGACGCAGACAAGGAACATTGTTTGTGGCCTATGAACATCGCCGCATCAACATCGCCCCTTCAAGAGTCTGTATCTTCACTAAGGCCACACCGAATTTGAAGTAGAAGATTTCTGCATGAAATTTTTCGGTCAGGCATCCGCGTGCACCACGCGTCACCTTGAAAACGCATCAGTCTCAGGGGATTCAAGAATGGACACCTTTTTCTCTCTAGAGGAACTTCAAGCGGCCTTGACAGCATGCAAACGTTCTTCATCGCCTGGTCCGGATGGGATCAGGTAAATCACTCTTTGCAACCTTGATGAAACAGCTACAAGGGCCCTTCTATCTGGGTGCAAAGACTCGTGGAATAGCGGATTAGTCCCTCCTTCGTGGAAATCCAGCCGCCTCCTCCCTGTACTTAAACCAGGTAAATCTCCTCTGAACTTGACCTCTTAACGACCCATCGCGCTTGCCAGCTCTTTCGGGAAAGTGATAAGAGAGGATGATTTTGACTCGCCTAGAGTGGTACCTGGAGCACCACGAGGTATACCCTAATGCTATGACGGGCTTTCGGCGTGGGCGGTCCGCAATTAATAACGTTATTGACCTGGTCTAGTCTATGCAGCATAAAAAACGACTGAAACGTTTATCTGTGGCATTGTTCTTGGACGTGAAAGGCGCATACGATAATGAAACGTTTGAAGCAATTCTGGATGTCTTGGAAAATGTTGAATTAGGGGGTCGGGTTTACCAATGGATCCACAGCTATCTGAAAGGCAGAACTTTCTTTGTACAGACGGAGAATGGCACAACAACGCACCATTGCAACCGTCGTGGTGTGCTTCGAGGTGATGTTCTTAGCCCCACACTTTTCAATCTGGCACTCCTCGGCCTGGTTTACGCACTTCCAGAATCAGTGCATCTCTCAATATATGCAGATGACATCTGCATCTGCGCGTCAGGCGTGACACGCCTTAATTTGCGTGCCCGGCTTCGGAGAGTGGCTACACTAGTGACAAAGTACCTTGAAGAAAGGAGACTAGAGCTGTCGTTGAGGAAGTGCTCGCTCATAGCCTTCACGCATAAGGCGACGGGTACATATGTATTAAATCAATGGACACAGGATCAATTACGTGAAGACCCACCGATTACTCGGAGTCATAGTTGATCGCGACCTCTCCTGGAGCCCTCACATCGTCCACATGAAAGCGAAACTCACCATGATCACCCACGTACTGAGGTTTCTCGTTGAAAAAAACGTGGGGTGCATCGGTACGAACGATGCTTCAACTCTACACTGCTCTGTTCCTCGGAGTGTTGAGCTATAGCTTACCCGTGCTTTGCTGGATCTGAAGAACAAACTTGCGCGTCCTCCAGTCGATACAAGCCCAAGCAGTGTGAATATGCTTTGGTCTTCCGATATGCGCATCTACAGCAGCGACAGTCATCATTGCGCTTGATTATCCAGTCAACGCATACATCTGCGTAGACGCTTTAAGAATGCACTAAAGACATTTCGCTCGGATTCCATCACATCACTTCGCCTCACTTCGAACTTCTAGGCCCCACTCAGCGTTCAGCGCAATTACTGTAGCTCAGCATTGCGCAGTGCTTCCATTGCACTTCACGCATGCAGCACGGCCGCCGTTACCATTGTGGTTCCTGCACCCACTCAAAGCCCTTCTTACCATTCGTGGCATCCAAAATAAGAAAACGTTATCGCATCTAGCCCTAAAACAGGTCACATTATTCTCTTCCTGCAAGAGAAGCACAACAGACGCTTTCCCATTTACACCGATGACTCTGCGTCTTCAGTAAGCTCAGCAGGGGTGGTGGTTA